CCTTTAAACTTATTATTAATTGTGTTAATAATATTTGACACATAGAATAAATGAGACGTGAGAAGAAAAAGAATCATCTTGTTTAAAAATTATTGTTTGTAGGATCTTAAGAGGGAGAATCTATTAATGTGGTTAAGGGGATTTAAGCCCCACTAAAAATACATTTTCTTATAAATTTTGTTTTACATTTCAATCTTCCCTCTGATGAATAAGTTTTTTCTTGTTTAGTTAACTAAATTTATTTAAAAACTATTGAAGTTATATTAATAATTTATTTGAATGAATTATTTCTAATAATGATATAAAATAATCAAATATTAAATTAAAACATTTTACATTATAAACTATTTTATATTATTTTGATCATAAATTATATATTGTATGCAAATTTTAAATATTATTTATGATTATATTATAGATTCTTTTATCTCCATTACAAAAAAAAATTAAATATGTCACTAACATTTTTATTCCATTATAATCACAAAGTGAAAAGGAATTAATCAATTTATAATATATTGTTACCCCTATTACAATTAATTTAGTCTATTGATTTGGTTACCTTGCTCCTAACCATGACTATTTTTCCTTTTAGTTATGCTTCTACTTTTTTTTAATAAAATATTTGATAAATTTAAAAATTTTAATTTAATATCTTTGTAATACTACTTTACAGTGACATGCACTACCTTTAGACTTATTATTAATTGTGTTAATATTATTTGACACGTAAGAATAAATGAAACGTGAGAAGAAAAAGAATCATCTTGTTTAAAAATTATTCCTATAAATATTTTTGCTGCTATGATTTAAGTTTTTCTTAGGTAGTATAAAATCTAGATAGTTGAAATATATTTCAAGTATATGACATTGAACATAAAAACACTTCTCCACAGCAATTTGTAGAAGCTTAAGAGGGAGAATCTATTAATGTGGTTAAGGGGATTTAAGCCCCACTAAAAAAACTTTTTCTTATAAATTTTGTTTTACATTTCAAACTTTCCTCTGATGAAATAGTTTTTTCTTGTTTAGTTAACTAAATTTATTAAAAAAATATTGAAGTTATATTAATAATTTATTTGAATAAATTAATTCTAATAATGATATAATATAATCATATATTAAAATAAAACATTTTACATTATAAACTATTTTATATTATTTTGATCATAAATTATATATTGTATGCAAATTTTAAATATTATTTATGATTATATTATAGATTCTTTTAACTCCATTACCAAAAAAAAAATTAAATATGTCACTAACATTTTTATTCCATTATAATCACAAAGTGAAAAAGAATTAATCAATTTATAATATATTGTTACCCATATTACAATTAATTTAGTCTATTGATTTGGTTACCTTGCTCCTAACCATGACTATTTTGCCTTTTAGTTATGCTTCTACTTTTTTTTAATAAAATATTTGATAAATTTAAAAATTTTAATTTAATATCTTTGTAATACTACTTTACAGTGATATGCACTACCTTTAAACTTATTATTAATTGTGTTAATATTATATGACACATAGAATAAATGAGACGTGAGAAGAAAAAGAATCATCTTGTTTAGAAATTGTTCCTATAATTATTTTTGCTGCTTTGATTTAAGTTTTTTTTATGTAGTATAAAATCTAGATAGTTGAAATATATTTCAAGTATATGACATTGAACATAAAAACACTTCTCACAGCAGTTTGTAGGAGCTTAAGAGGGAGAATCTATTAATGTGGTTAAGGGGATTTAAGCCCCACTAAAAAAACATTTTCTTATAAATTTTGTTTTACATTTCAAACTTTCCTCTGATAAAATAGTTTTTCTAATTTAGTTAACTAAATTTATTAAAAAAATATTGAAGTTATATTAATAATTTATTTGAATTAATTAATTCCAAAGATGAAATAAAATAATCATATATTAAAATAAATTATTTTACATTATAAACTATTTTATAATATTTTGATCATAAATTATATATTGTATGCAAATTTTAAATATTATTTATGATTATATTATAGATTCTTTTATCTCCATTACAAAAAAAATTAAATATGTCACTGACATTTTTATTCCATTATAATCACAAAGTGAAAAATAATTAATCAATTTATAATATATTGTTACCCATATTACAATTAATTTAGTCTATTGATTTGGTTACCTTGCTCCTAACCATGACTATTTTGCCTTTTAGTTATGCTTCTACTTTTTTTTAACAAAATATTTGATAAATTTAAAATTTTTAATTTAATATCTTTGTAATACTACTTTACAGTGACATGCACTACCTTTAAACTTATTATTAATTGTGTTAATATTATTTGACACGTAGAATAAATGAGACGTGAGAAGAAAAATAATCATCTTGTTTAAAAATTATTGTTTGTAGTAGCTTAAGGGGGATAATCTATTAATGTGGTTAAGGGGATTTAAGCCCCACTAAAAATACATTTTCTTATAAATTTTGTTTTACATTTCAATCTTCCCTCTGATGAAATAGTTTTTTCTTGTTTAGTTAACTAAATTTATTTAAAAAATATTGAAGTTATATTAATAATTTATTTGAATGAATTAATTCTAATAATGATATAAAATAATCATATATTAAATTAAAACATTTTACATTATAAACTATTTTATATTATTTTGATCATAAATTATATATTGTATGCAAATTTTAAATATTATTTATGATTATATTATAGATTCTTTTATCTCCATTACAAAAAAAAATTAAATATGTCACTAACATTTTTATTCCATTATAATCAAAAAGTGAAAAGGAATTAATCAATTTATAATATATTGTTACCCCTATTATAATTAATTTAGTCTATTGATTTGGTTACCTTGCTCCTAACCATGACTATTTTTCCTTTTAGTTATGCTTCTACTTTTTTTTAATAAAATATTTGATAAATTTAAAAATTTTAATTTAATATCTTTGTAATACTACTTTACAGTGACATGCACTACCTTTAAACTTTATATTAATTGTGTTAATATTATTTGACACATAGAATAAATGAGACATGAGAAGAAAAAGAATCATCTTTTTTAGAAATTGTTCCTATAAATTTTTTTGCTGCTATGATTTATGTTTTTTTTAGGTAGTATAAAATCTAGATAGTTGAAATATATTTCAAGTATATGACATTGAACATAAAAACACTTCTCCACAGCAGTTTGTAGGAGCTTAAGAGGGAGAATCTATTAATGTGGTTAAGGGGATTTAAGCCCCACTAAAAAAACATTTTCTTATAAATTTTATTTTACATTTCAAACTTTCCTCTGATAAAATAGTTTTTCTTGTTTAGTTAACTAAATTTATTAAATAAATATTGAAGTTATATTCATAATTTATTTGAATTAATTAATTCCAAAGATGAAATAAAATAATCATATATTAAAATAAATTATTTTACATTATAAAATATTTTATAATATTTTGATCATAAACTATATATTGTATACAAATTTTAAATATTATTTATGATTATATTATAGATTCTTTTATCTCCATTACAAAAAAAAATTAAATATGTCACTGACATTTTTATTCCATTATAATCACAAAGTGAAAAAGAATTAATCAATTTATAATATATTGTTACCCCTATTACAATTAATTTAGTCTATTGATTTGGTTACCTTGCTCCTAACCATGACTATTTTTCCTTTTAGTTATGCTTATACTTTTTTTTAACAAAATATTTGATAAATTTAAAAATTTTAATTTAATATCTTTGTAATACTACTTTACAGTGACATGCACTACCTTTAAACTTATTATTAATTGTGTTAATATTATTTGACACGTAGAATAAATGAGACGTGAGAAGAAAAATAATCATCTTGTTTAAAAATTATTGTTTGTAGGAGCTTAAGAGGGAGAATCTATTAATGTGGTTAAGGGGATTTAAACCCCACTAAAAATACATTTTCTTATAAATTTTGTTTTACATTTCAATCTTCCCTCTGATGAAATAGTTTTTTCTTGTTAAGTTAACTAAATTTATTTAAAAAATATTGAAGTTATATTAATAATTTATTTGAATGAATTAATTCTAAAAATGATATAAAATAATCATATATTAAATTAAAACATTTTACATTATAAACTATTTTATATTATTTTGATCATAAATTCTATATTGTATGCAAATTTTAAATATTATTTATGATTATATTATAGATTCTTTTATCTCCATTACAAAAAAAAAATTAAATATGTCACTAACATTTTTATTCCATTAAAATCACAAAGTGAAAAGGAATTAATCAATTTATAATATATTGTTATCCCTATTACAATTAATTTAGTCTATTGATTTGGTTACCTTGCTCCTAACCATGACTATTTTTCCTTTTAGTTATGCTTCTACTTTTTTTTAATGAAATATTTGATAAATTTAAAAATTTTAATTTAATATCTTTGTAATACTACTTTACAGTGACATGCACTACCTTTAAACTAATTATTAATTGTGTTAATATTATTTGACACGTAGAATAAATGAGACGTGAGAAGAAAAAGAATCAAACGACTTCGGCCTAACCCTAACGGGAATGAGCAACAACGAAATGACAGGATGGGGTGCTCCGGGCACCCCCATTTAGAAAGAAGGGTCGAAGGTTTTGGGCCTGTAGCTTTCCCCGTCCCCCCTTCGTCGGGTGGTGCTTGTGTGGGGGGTGTGCCACCTGAACCTGAAATCGGGCTTGAAGCTCTCGCCTTACCAACGAGCCGACAGCTGATGGCTGTTGGTCACGACTACCACCAAAAAGCTCCAATGAAGATGAATATTTCACATTTTGGAGTGTGCATCTGTATGTTGGGTGTTCTTCTGTCGTGCGACCCGGCGGCTTATGTGCGACCTGTGGCCCACGCCTCCTATTTGTTCGGGGCGGGCGGCGTGAACTCTGACTCGATCCGGGTATTCAATCCCGCCGCTGAGATGCTCAGTTGACTCCTTAACCTTGATAGGAAGATGGCTTATTCAATAATTCGTGCATAAGGGTAAGGAACTTTGGATGAACTAATGCGAATGGGTGTAAGCCTCGCAGCTCGGAAACACCCAGTGCTGACCACACTGAGAGAGACGAAAGCGCAGGTAATGCCAGTTGGCGAAGTGGCGTTAAGCATCCCTAGCGGTACGAAAAGAGAGGTCGTGATGATATCATCTACGTCCGTACCGCTCCTCGCGGAGTAGATCCCGCATCCAACCAAGTCTTTGACCAGGGAACGGGAAAATTACCACTACCGCTGGAAGGCCAGCCGGGCCGTGAGCGCGGTGGGAACGGGCTTCCCAAAAAGCCAGCCCCGGGCCGGGGTCGGCATAGAATGAAGGGGACGGCCCTAATGTTGTGTTGGCAAAGCCAACTTATTGGGTTGCGGGCGGAGAAGAGCGGACGTGGGGACTCAGACCGGGGCGCAGCGTAACTAAGAGAGCCATTCCATTTAGGGCGAGACAGAGTGGGCGGGCACGAGTGGTCTGGTGTCCGAGCCAATTGGTCAGACGACGACTACTTCACTTATTAGATTAGTATCCACCGCCTATCCCGAAAAAAAAAGGGATGAAATAGAAAGAACGCGAAGCGCTAGCGCTATAGTATATAAATGGATTTTGGGGGGGATTTGCTTCTTCACAAGCTTATCCCCGCCCCGGCCGGCAGCTGCTGGGTCTCCCCATCTCTCCTAAACTTCCCCCGGTCTTCGGCCCGAGCTGTATGAGGCAGAAACTCGCCCCACGTACGGTTCGGAGGCCGAGTCCCACCCCAGCAGTAATGGTGCGGCTTAGGTCAACTAACACAAAGAAGATACAGTTCACTCAACGATTGCCTTTGGGTTCCGAACTCCATATGGGGAAGGAGCGTTGTTGTTTCCGAGGTCTCGATCATTTACATGGACCCACTTCTCATTCCATTTGTGGTAATTTTCTGATCTATAAACCGTCCCTAACGAACGATCGCCTCATGTTTGAGCATGATGAATCACTTCGTGCCGACCTGTTGCCAATAAACTTTCCGGCCTCATATGAGAATGGAAAACTGGATAATTTTCTGCATCGGTGGATGAAGAATAGCGAAAATAATAATTTATGGTTGACCATGTTCCCAGAAAAAAGATACTTTAGAGAAACAACGAGCACGACTGAAGTGGCTATACATA